ATAATACAGCATTTTAAAAGTCAGACATTAGCCGGGTGTTGGTGGCACATGGCTTTAATCCCAGCACTCGGGAGGCAGAGGCAGGCGGCTCTCTGTGAGTTCGAGGCCAGGCTAGACCGACAGCCTCCAAAACAGACAAACCCTGTCTCGTAAAAAACCAAAAAAAAAAAAAAAAAGTCAGACATTATGGTGCATATCTTTAATCCCAGGCCTTGTGATGTGTAGGCTGGAGGATCAGGAGATCAGGGTCCTCCTTGGTAGACCTTGTTTCAGAATACTCTCTCTCTCTCTCTCTCTCTCTCTCTCTCTCTCTCTCTCTCTCTCTCTCTCTCTCTGTGTGTGTGTCTCTCTCTGTCTCTCTGTCTCTGTCTCTGTCTCTCTCTCTCTGTCTCTCTCTCTCTCTCGATGACAGTGAAACTTCATGGTACAACCCCCAAACTGAAGTCCTAGGTACTTTTGTTTCAGATGTACATCTCTGTATGTCCTCCACCCAGAGATCCTACTCTGTTTACCTCCCGATGTGTATGAGAAGTGCAGTGCAGATATCCAGGGATTCCATCCTCAAATGTTGTAAATGTGCCTTACAGAACACCAAAATATAAGCAACATTTTTTTAAATCTCAAAAATTAGCCTGTCTTAATTATCTCCGAGTTCAGCAACATTCCATGCAGATTGAGTGCAAAGTAGGCTCCATCCATGGCAACGGGCTGAGATGTCTTACCTGTCTCTTCAGTTCAGGTCTTCCCTCCTTTGTTTCCTTGTGCAAGGAAAGTGCCTGAGAAGCACATCTTCCACTGACCCTTCTGCAAACGGCTGATGAATGATTAGAACTTCAGTGATGTGGAGAGGTTGCAATGTCACAAGCCCAGATCCAAATCGCCTTGGGCTATCTTTCGCCTCCTTAATGGTCCTTTGCTGCTCTCCTCTGCATCTGTGTCATTGCTAACATCTTCGTGAACATTAGATAATTCTTTGGAATGTACAAAATACCTCTAGTTTCTATCAATCAAGACTAAGAACCCATTCAGATTGCATCTGATGCCTATAGTAGAGATTTCTCTGCTTTTCTCTAACCCATCTATATGACTGATCCTTTGATTTATGACCTGCTTTGTTCTCTTACTATAAAATCTTGATCAAAGTGTTGCCATATTGGAACATTGAATTCGGCGTAAACTAAATTTGTGTTCGAAGTCTTTGTTCACTTATATGTGGCTCCAGAATGAACTGTATCTCATCCCCTTTGAGGTGAGAGCTGTGTTTCTGCATCTTTCTTGTTAAGGGAGTTGTGTACTTTCTTTCCTGTGCTTTTGTGACCCCTGATGTGTGATGGAACTTCTGTCCTACCTGCCTTTAGAATGTCAGAATCAGATAGCTCTGATTGCCTGATTGCTTATGGTCACAACTGGATAGTGAAATGGATCTTGCCTCATTTTTCTCTCCTTATTTTATTAACTTGCTATCTTTTCAACACTCTGAAATCCATTGAACTGTTTTAACTATTGAATCATGTATGTGTTGGGCAAATAGAAGCAGTTTTGTAATTTTCTGTTTCTGAGAGAGAGCATTGTCCAAGTCCCACATGTAGTAGGCACATCGCCAAAACAGTGTTCAGAGTTGTCTTCTTTCTTCCCCTCCCCCTCTCCTTTTCTACCTGAACCCAGAACTTGCTAATTTGGCCAGACTGGTCAACCAGTAAACCCTAGTGATCCTCCTGTCTCTGTGCCCCAACACAGGAATTAGGAATGCATGCCCCACACACCTGGCTTTCTAGTTAGGTGCTTGGGATCCAAATTTAGGTCCTCATGCCTGCAGGGCAAGGACTTTAACAGCTGAGCCATCCCACCAACCCCCTCACATTCTCATTTTTATTCACTCCGTGACTTGTGTTGCCTGTATTCATGGTTGTGCCTCCTACCTCAGTTAACCCAGTCTAGAAATTTGCTTACAGACATGCCCAGAAGTGTGTCTCCTAGGCAGGTCTAAATCCTATCAAGTTGACAATCAAGATTAACTATTCAGCCATTAATAACAGTTGACACTCTCCAGCGATCACAGTTCCAGAATACAGAGAACTTATTTTCCACAATGAAATCTAATGAAAAGAAAACTTGGCGTGTTATGTTTTATAAAAGATAATTCTGTTGATAGAATTACCTCCACCCATGCCAGATACTCACTCCCTCATTCTTTTTGGGTTGGTCTAATTCAGGTGCCTCCAGTGAAATTAGAGACTGGGCTATGGAAACTTTCATGTAAACACAGTCATAAGAATGTAAAGCTTGCTAGTCAGATTTCCCAATGCCTGTGTTACAGCAAGTGCTTTCTAACGCTGGCCACCGTGGATGCTGGGGCAAATCAATGCAACTGGATTGATTTTTCTCGGGTCTTTAAATGTTTAAGCTTGCACCTGGCCTTTGTGTTGTCTCCTGCTTGTAGGTAATAGCTGGGAATTCCAGGTGAAGGATTACAACTTCTCAGCTACTTATGCTACCCACAAGTGATCCGTTGGTTGTGACTGAAAATACCAGTTTGAAAATATATTCGTGGGATTAGGAGTGAGCACGTCTTCCCTGAAATCTTGTGGTTTAGCTTTAGTGCTTAGGGTAGTCAGTCCGTGTCTTTGAAATATTGAGCTGGCTGACAGCTTAAAATCCTAAGTTTCCTTTAAACTTGAGCTGGGCTTTGGAGGGAAAAGGGGTAGCTCGGAGAGAGGGCGGATTTTATGTATGTCTCTCCAAACAGAATTCACTTAAGTGTGTTTGCCATCAGGGCCTGGGGAATGCAAGCAAGCTGACTCCTTGCTATACTCCTCGAGTTCTGCCCTCGGCCCAGATCAACATTTAGTCAGATAATTGACATCAGAGCCTCTGAAGTCTGTTGTGGGCCTTGTTATAAAATCATTTCCCCTTCAAGAAGAAGCATGGAAGAAGGACTAGGTGCAATGTCCAGGTTTCAGTCAGCTAGTTGTGTATAAGGAATATTCCTTGATACTCCCTTTTTATTTTAAATTACAGTTGTTTAATTGTGAGCAGACTTGTGTGAACATGGTGGTCGGAGGACAACTTGCAGGAATAGGTTCCGTCCTACCATGCGACTCCTGGCAATTGAATCTTCACTAGATCAGCCCCCAACCTTGCTATCCTGAAATACAGAACAAATGGTAATACACTGTAGAATCGTGCCTGTGTGTCTTGTGTGAACCTCTGACTGGGCACTGAACATTGAACCAGGGGATAGGTAGCAATAGAATCATGTGCTTGGGTTCTAGATTTTGGCCTTACTCTATGCTCATCATTTGCTGTTTCTTCATCCACAATTGAAGATGTTTCTGCCCATACATTATGAGAGAATCAGTTAAATAATACATCTTGTCTTGTCTTGCTTTTGAGACAGGGCCTCATGTATTCCAGGCTGACCTTGAACTCACTGTGTAGCAAGGATGATCTTGAACTCCCGATAGCCCTGCCTCTGCTTTCCCAGCCCTGGGTTTACAGGTATGTGTGTTGCCATGCAGGATTTCTACAGTGCAGTTATTCTATGGGTGAGCTGTATTGCCAGCCAACAATGGGAGCTCTGGTTTTGCTTATGTATCAGAGTGCATGTTCCACTGCAGGGCTGACAGTCAGTATGATTGTTGCAACAGTACTGATTTCTTGTACTTGAAAATTAAATGGGTGAGAAGGCTCAGCTGCTAAAGGCAGTTTCCACCAAGCCTGATGACCTGTGTTTCATTCCTGGAACCTACCAGGTTGATGGAGAGAACTGACTCCCACAAGTTATCCTCTGGTCTCTATAAATACATTTCGGCACATGTGTTACCTCCCTCATGTACATATACATAAATAAATAAATGTAATAATTAACAGGGCTTGAGATGAAGTTCATTCGATAAGATCTCACATTCAAAGGTGTGATAGTACTCCCTTCCTACGAAGCCACGTTCCAGACCCCCAGTGAGAAAGTGAACATTTGGAATGATGTTATTCTGACCTGTATTGCACCAATTAGCAAAGACTCATACAGTTTACATCTGGGGCAGGTTCGAGTTAGTAAATTTCACATTAGTGTAGGAGAAAACTCGGTCCTTAATAGGCTCAGGAGGAAAGAAAGTAAAATTAACCCTATTTTTTTTTTTTAGCTTCATTAGAGACTACTTCCTAGAAAAGGTGGGGAGGTGCAGAAGATAGTAGTAAAAATGGCTTTGTTGGGGAGTTGAAGGTAAGAATGCTGCATCTGGGAGTGAGGTGAACCCAAGTGAAGTCTGAAGGCTGGTCAGTCTGTCATGCCAGAAGACTGGGAACGTGGCTTAGTCCGTAGAATGCTTGCCTAGTGTGCGCAAGGCCCCAGGGTTCAGTCCCTAGCTCTGAATAACCCGGGTGTGGTAATGCTTGACTCCTGTAACCCTAGTAATTAGAAGATGGGAATAGGACCTGAGAAGTTGACAGTCACCCTTAAATACACAATGAGTTCCAGGTCAGTCAACCCCATGAGACCCTGTGTCAAAGACAAAAAAAAAATCAAAACAAAACAGCAGTAGGATGTTGAAGAAGTGGAGTAGAGGCAGAAGGATCAGACGTCATAAATCACCCTCATTTACGCAGTGAATTCCTAGTCTCCAGGCCACATGATAGCTACCCTGTGTGTTAAAAAACAAACAAAACCAAAACCTAAATATATGGGGCTGGAGAAGGAGTTAAGAATGTGCACTGCTCTGGGAGAGCATCTGAGTTTGGTTCTCAACCCTCACGTTGGACAGCTTACTACCACCAGTACCTCCAGCTGCAGAGGGATCCTGGGCCCTCTTTTGGCCTCCATATCCCTGCCCTCCCTCATCTGTGAGTATACACGCGTGTGCACGTGTGCCTTACAAGTTTAAACTAAATAGAATGTTGAGGTTCAGGACTTCAAATTGGCAAGGCTCACAGCTCAAAGACTTGATGTATGTGTGAGGATACCACTGACTTTCTCCCGTTTTGCTTTTCTCTGTTACCTTCAGCTCAAGCCAGGACAGAACAGCTGCAGGGACAGTGACAGCGAAAGCGCTAGCGGAGAATCCAAGGGTTTCCACCGGAGCAGCTCTCGTGAGAGGCTCAGCGATGTAAGTTTAAAATGCATCGGACAAGTCCTGGACCACTGTACACTCTTGGTGCGAGGATCATGCTCTCCCTTCAGATGGCTCCCTTGTGGGAGCATTATTAGGCATGCTTTCTTGGTATCTGTGTTTGTATCTTTCAGTTATTTTGTCATGCCAAAATGTATGTTGACCTAAAATGTGTTTTTAACAAGTTATGGGGTTTCAGGGATGCCTAATAAAAGTGATTGTTGTACAAGCCTGAAATCAAAGCTCAGATTCCCAGAATCCACACAAATGTCATGTGGGCATAGGAGCGCACATAGGATTGTATCTGTAGTCTCAGAGTTAGGAGGTACAGGCAATGAATCCCAGCAACACACAGTCAGGGCAGGGTTCCTTGGGAAACTTTGCCTCAGGGAATAGAGATTAGGAGCTAGAGAGACAACGCAGACAACTCGGTGGCTAATAGCACTGTTTGCTTTTCCAGAGGACCTGAATTTGACTCCTAGCACCCACATGGCAGCTCACAATCGTCTAAAACTACAGTCCAAGGGATCCTAGCTTCCATGGGCTCCATATGAAGGCGAACACCCATACACATAAAAGAACAATAAATAAGTGAATGATTGAGGCATACAACCATTGTCATCGTCCATACCTACATGCACATGTGCTCCCACACCTGGGAATGTTCACAGGCACCTGTACCCATAAACATACAACAGAAACATAGAAAAAAACACTATGAAGGTGGGAATATGTTTTTTCCCTGAGAAACAAGAAATGGGCCAGCGAAGTGGCTCAGCAGTAAGGGTGCTTGCTTGCAAGGTTGAAGAAATGAGTTTGCTCCCCAGAACTGACAAGATGGAAAACGAAATTCCTGAAGTTTGTTCTCTGACCTCCACTTACATGTATTGAGTTCTTAGGTTTTCTGTTGCTGTGAAGAGACACCATGACCGTGGCAACTCTTAGAAAACATTTAATTGTGGTGTCCTGTTTACAATTCAGGGGATCAGTCTGATATCATCATGATGGGACATGGGTGCACTCAGGCAGACATGGTGCTGGAAGGGTAGCTGAGAGTTCTACATCTTGGCTTGCAGACAGCAGGAAGTGGTCTGAGACACTGGGCAGTGTCTTGAGCAGCACATAGGAAACTTCAAAGCCTGCCTCCATAGTGACACACTCCCTCCAACAAGGCCATCTCCTAATAGTGTCGCTCCCTTTGGTAGCCATTTTCTTTCAGACTAGCATACTGCGTGAAGCTCACTAACTCAGACTAAAATAAATTCACTAAGTAAGTAAAACCAAAAGAACTAGTAATATTTTTATCAGAACAGCAGTCAGGGAGTACCATACCTGCAAGATGACAGACATCATGTTGCTGTGCTCTGGCCCTCAGTAATTTATACCTTGGAATCCCATAACATTCTATCTCCATTTGCTTTCTCCTGTTAGGATAGGACATCTGTTCAGTCAGCGTAGATGCCTGTCTTGGCAGGAGCTGGAATTATTAACACATTTACTAACAGACTTCAATTTGGAAAACCTTGTAAAAAATAACTAAGATCCTAGATGTGCCTGTTCTCCTGTAGTCCTAGTCCCTAGCCTCCTGCAGGCCAGATCCCTTCCAGTCCCCAGTTACCAGAGAGACCGAGGTCTCCTTTTTTTGGGTTCATAGTCTCCTTAATAAAACAAGTTAGACAGGAATCAAAAGGCATCTCAAGGACTATTTTATTAGACTTTAAGAGAAAAGCAGTATCGCAGATAATATGTAAATCTCTGTAGCTGCTGGAACCAGACTTAGGGGTCAAGACCTGATATCTAACAAATCAGGTTCAGTCACTTATCCTCAGTTAAGTTAATTAATAGAGCCAAATTACTAATGAAAATCAGAATAAGGAGCTTTATTCAGTGGGCTCACATTGGGGCAAAGAGAACCAGCAATTCCCCAGAGTCATTGAAGGTAAGATTTAGATAGAAGTCAAGCAGTCTATCCAGATGTAGTCTCCTATTTGCATTGTCTGTGCTCCAGGTTTCTCCTGCAAGGTCACCTGTCAATCTCTTTTCAGGCAGGCAAGTTTCTCCTCTAGCTACCCTGAGGGCTTTATAGGCTTTTCCAATCCCAGAAGGGGATTCCTGGGGAAATACTAATCTCTTGTGGTCCATTCTTTCAATATTTTGATGGCCTAAGAGAGGGGCACAAGTGTCTTGTTGGGACACGTTGATTCATGCCAGGTGGGCCTTTACTACACTGCCAGGGGAAGTGGAAGGGCAGAGAAGACAGAAAGCCATGCGGTTTGCAAGGGACCTCATGGATGAAGGAGAGAGGCTTCAGAGAAGCAGTGAAAACCCAGGATACCAAGGAAAGCCTGCTGAGCCTTTGGCCAGTACCCCAAAAAAGGGATAAAGGAAAGGAAAACATAAGTTATGCTTTTTGATTCCTAACTCAGAAAACTGGGCAGGCAGAGAATGTAGAAAGAGGAGGCTTCTGGGGGAGGGAAAGTAGATTATCTCATTAATAGGATAATAACCTCTTCTATCTCCTTCTGGGTAGCTGTGCTACCTCGGGCTAGAGATGGAATTTAGAACAAAGCCCAGGTACCTTCACCTTTCTATGAGGTCATTTAAAATCTTAGGAATGCCAAAGCTGATGTTTATGTTTCAAAGGAAAGGAGATGTGGGGTCCAAAGCTTCTGTAGCCTGAGACTACTGTGGTAATACCCCCTGCTTCTCCTGGAATCCTTCTACTCTGCTTTGGACTCCCCTGGCCCTCCTGGGTCTGTTTGATTGTCTGCACCAGCCCCAGCTGCTGTAGACTCGTTTGCCTCCTTTCTTCACTGGTTCGTGTCCCTTCTTTGCCCCTGTGAGCAATACTTTGAAGCTGTCCTGAAATATATGCTCAGTGGGGAGAAATTATTGTTAATGATGTCAAGAAGCAATGTTAGTAGAGTTAAGTGCAAGGTGTGTGTGGGGGGAGGTACAAAGGAGAGGAGTTTTGAGTCTCCAACATTACAAAGCAGTAGAGATATGATGGATATTATACATGTAAAAAAATCGAGTTCTCTCATTATTCACCCTAAAGCAACAGTCGTTATCATGAGCAAGGTGGTATATTGCAGAGAAAATGCTACGGCTTTCTCATGAAGGAAAAAGAGACACCATACTTTGGCATTAAATGTTATAAGCAGGAAGTAATGCATATGTATAATTTTATTACATTTTGCATGTCAAAGTACCCATGTGTATTTGGGTTGCACATGACATGGCTGGTGTGTGGAGGTCAAAGGACAGCCTGAGGGGGTTGGCTCTCTCCTTTGAGTGCTAGGAATAGTACTCAGGTCCTCAGGTGTATCAGCAAGCACCTTTATCTTCTGAGCCATCACCAACATATACTTACATGTATGTATGTATAATTTTTAAGGACATATATGTTAAGGTTTTGTACTGAAAACTGTTTTTACTAAGAAATGTCCACTAAAACAAAAGACTGCCAATGACTGCACCCTCCCACATGACAATACTACATTTCTCAGATCATTCCATAGTATAATACTGCATTATTCTGATTCATTCCATATGATGATACTGTATTACCTCACATCATTCCATCTGCGGATACTGCACTAACCTGATTAATTTCCTAGGGTAATACTTCATTATCCTGGCTCTCTTAGTCATTGTTCTATTAGTAAGGCAACTCTTATAAAAGAAATTATTGACTTTGGAACTTGCTTACAGTTCCAGAGGCTTAGTACATTATCATTTCAGCAGGCAGGCATGGTGCCAGAGAAGTAGCTGAGAGCTCTGTCCTGATACACAAGCAGAAAGACAGAGAAACAGGCAGAGTGACAGACACAGGGCCTACCATGGGCTTTTGAAACCTCAGATCCCACCAGAATTGACACACTTCCTCCAATAAGGACACACCTCCCAATCCTTCTAATCCTTCCAAAGAATTATACTCCATAGTGACTAAGCATTCTTATATATGACCCTTATTCAAACCACCACACTGACCCATTACATCTGATAATACTATATCACTCTGACCCATTCCATATGGTGATACTGCCTTACTCTGACCTGTTTTGTATGATAATATATTGCTATACCCCATTCCACATAGTAGTTACATCACCCTGACACAATCCATGAGATAATACTTCTTTACCCTGACATTTGATATGACTAAATGATAACGTTACATTTCCCCGTATCACCAAAGTAGACAACACCAAGGCATAACTTTTTTTTCATACACTTCCAAGGAAAATTTGTTGTTTGGTGTGTGGAACTTTGAGTTCTTAGAAGAATTAATGGTATTAAGCAAAGCTATTATTTTTACAGTATTCCTTAATATGCTATTAAATAAAGAATATTGTCTTTTCCTGTGAGTATAATTCTGCATGTAAGAATGCTAGTTTTATGATGGGTTTCATTAGTTTGTGATAGAATTGTACAGTCATGAAACGATAACTACTATGCTGACCTAAATTCTAAATACTTAATGCTTATTTAGCTCTTTTGAGATTTTGTTATGCTATTTTTTTCATGTTTGTTTTTGTGTATTCTAATGCAGGCTAGCATAAAAGTTGCTATTAGTCAAGGATGGCCTGAGACACTGATCCTCCTGCCTCAGCCCTCCATGTTTCTGGCAGGGATTTCTTCCCATACCCACCTTGTGCATTTACTGTGAGGTCTTATTGGCCCTGGAAGTATTCCAGGATTACCTAGTCAGACTTCAGTTATGGCTTAGACCAGTGGTTCTCAACCTTCCTAATGCTACAGCCCTTTAATATAGTTCCTCATGTTTGGTAACCCCCAATCATAAGATTATTTTTGTTGCTACTTCATGACTGTAATTTTGCTACTGTCATGAATCCTAAGGGAAACATCTGCTTTGTAGGATATCTCTGACCCCTGTGAAAGTGTAGTTCACCCCCCACTCTCCCAGAAGGAGTCATGACCCACAGGATGGAAGCCTGGTTTGTCACTGATTTCAGTTTTGTCCTTTTCACCTG